TCACCGGTAAAAACTTGCAATAAATTGGCCAGTTCGATCGGCTCGGTCCTGCGTCACCTCTGAAATGTGTTTTAAAGACCTGTTTTTAAACGCTTTAGAAAAAAATAAAATACTTGTTGAGGTCGTACGACGTTCTGTCAGAGTCAGCTACCGAGAATGTTATTTCTAAGCATTTTCCCTACTATGGAATTCAAGCTAAGAATAAACCAAAAGAAAAAATTTTTTGTTATTACTTAGTTTTGACATACTTCGTTTAATTATTTCTATATCATATCGTAAATATGATTCTTTAACTTTATTCTTCCATTCAATTTCAGTTTCGTTACCTTCAACAATAAATTCCTGTTTTAAATATTCATAAACAAATTGTTCACCTTCATTTCCAGTTCGCAGATCTTCATCAGTTGTTTCGTATTGGGTAGTGATCGTAGTAATATCAATATTTTGACTGAATGTAATGTTATCAAGTGTATTCATTTTATATGTTCAAATGTTTCAAGAAGTGTAGCCGATTCTGACCCACTGTGAACAATGTAGGTCGATAAAGACGTCTTGTCAATAAAATAAGACGATTGTTTTCGTTTCTGGTCTAATGGTTTCACATTGTCAAGGACCAAAGTTGCTGAAAAGAAAAAAAATTTTGGTGTCTTATTAGAAAGAAATTTAAAAAACTTTAAGAGGGGCTCCTGTCACTCGTTTTACTCTATCGTTTTGTACAAGACAGTTTGAAATACATATGGCAAATGTTTTCAGTTGACTGCATTATTCCACTTTGATCTGCCCAATGGAGTTTTGGAGCAAAAAGTATTTTTAAAAGCATCTTGAACCAAATTTCGCTGGAAGGAACATGAGTGAAGGATTTTTTTAAAATTCGTTAAACTAACTTCTGATGTTTTCTCGGTTTGCAGTCATTCTCTAGTTGAGAAAAACACCAATTACGTGGAAAATTCAGGAGAAGTTTTAAACATCGGTCCTTTTTTTAAATCTTTCCTATCCGATAGTCTCTCGTCATAAGCGGAAAAGAGTATTGTCTTCTTCTTCTGTTAAGTGTAGTCGATCGATCTTGAAGCGATCATGAAAGCGAAGTAAAGAACAATAACTTTTCCTTTCTCTTGTTTTATTTATCTTAGCCAAACATTTTTCTTTCGTTCTTCGCTTTGATTAGGTTCGTATGATTAGAGACTATCAGACAGCCAAGAGTCTAAAAAAAGATTCGATGTTCAAAACTTGACCTGAATTTCTCGAGTAATTAATTTTATTCTCAACCAGATAATAACTGCTAGCCGGGAATACATCAGAATATATGTTTCAAAGTGTGCTCTACAAACTGGTAAAGCTGCGAACGACATTTAAATGGGAGGATCCCCCGTTAAAACCCATACTTTCTAATTGATGTTGTTGGTAAACGTTTTGCACTGCTGATTCGTTCTTTTCATTTGACAATGACGAATCGTGTGT